GCCATCACACACAAATCAGAAACAAAGTATACATATTGTTGCATGCCCTTTAAAGCCCCAGACAAGGAAAACAAAAATCAAAATCATGTCTGTTTAAATAACAACGTTAGGCCCCCAATAGAGTGTATCTTAATGCATTGTCAAAATAGAATGCGTGTCTTCAGTGAGCCAAGGATCATCATGTCGTCTGTAAAAGAAGGAAGAGGGAAGTGGGGGCAGGAGGTGAGCGGGAGGTGAGCGGGAGCAAGATTGGAGGATATGGGGAGGGGGGAGATCCTGTAGACCTCTTGTCCCTTCTACTTCTTCCGAGAGTTACAATTGTCCAATGTGCTCCAATGTTTTTCCCCAATCAACTTAAGCTTCAATACGTGACTTTGGTCATTATTGTAGCGCTTTGACTGTATATTCAGCATGATTTTAACGGTTGCTTTGATGTGCCATTTGCTTCACTTTCAGGCGCAAGAACACAGCCACAGCGTAAGTATCGCCGCTCTTGGCAGCTGTTGTTCAGTTCGGTATCGTTATTTTGGAGGCTTTGTTGGTTTGGATGAATAAGACATTGGTTGTCTGGCAATAGAATTTCATTTACGCTTTATGGGCTTTGGTTTGTGTCATGCGTTATTGTGTCTATATATATTATAAACAGAAGGGGAGACAGAACGCGTCCCTGCCGTACTCCAGATCTTACTTTGAACCAGTCTGTATTGCTTTCCTCCGTTTTTTCTGAGCTGTGACATTATCTAACATTTGTCCTCTGACTTCATACTTTTCGAGTATCTTCAAGAGTTTTGCATGGTTTACTCAGTCAAAAGTCTTCTTCTGGTCGATAAAGACGATGTTGGATTCAGTGTTAAGTTCTATTGTTTTCTCGCATATCTGTCTGAATGCGAATACAGAATCCGTGCATCCTCTTCCCGTTCGGAATCCAAACTGAGCTTTGTTCAGATTTCTCCAATAGGTCTTATTCGCTATTCCAGTACTACCCGTGCGTGACTTAATAAAGAGATGCCTTTGTACATTGTGCAGTTGCCTTTCTTTTTCCCTAGTGAGACCACAACGTCTTCTTTTTCATTTTAATTGCTTCTTTGGTTTCGTCATTCCACCAGCATTTTTTTGCCCCTAGTGGGAATAAATATTTATTAACGAGACATTTCTTCGATCTTGTTGACAGTAGTGATCGTACAATAATAGATCTAGATTCAGGATTTTTTTTCATTCACAACTTCGCAACGCGTCTCGAATAAGATGTTTTGTTAATTGTTGATACGTTTCCATTATGGGAAAAGTTTTCATCTGTGGCCCCATCTATGTCTTCTCTTACATTTTCTGAAATCCTTCGAACAAAGAATCTTTGTTCATATTTCCTTGGATTTCCTTTAATCCTTCGAACGATAAATCTTTGTCCAACTTTCTTTACATTTTTTGAAACCTTTAGAACGAAGAATCTTTGTTCACATTTCCTTAGATTTTCTGAAATCCTTAGAACGATTTATCTTTGTTTACCTTAATTTTCTTAGATTTTCTTAAATCCTTCAAACGGCGAATCTATTGTTCTCATTTCCTTAAATGTTCTACAATTCTTCAAACGACGAATCCATTGTTCACATTTCCTTAAATTTTCAGAAATCTTAAATCCTTCAAACGACGAATTTATTGATAAACTTTCCTTTGATCTAAGATTTTCTGAAATCCTTCGAAAGACACATCTATTGTTCAACTTTCCTATATTCTTAGATTTTCTTCAATCCTTCGAAGGATGATGTCATAGGTAATCGCAATGCTCTTAAAGCAATCGTTATTGCACTTGATAAATAATAATTTTTTATGATAACGAAGTAAATTGAGAAGCTCATGCACTTGTTCACATACACACAAACACACACACACACACACACACACACACACACACACACACACACATATACACACACAAACACACACACTCACACACACACACACACACAAACACACACACACACACACACACACACACACACACACACACACC